CTCCCCTGGTCCTGGCCCACTCTGCGCCCCCTGGGACGCTCTAGGACGCCAGGGGCTGGCCTTGCCCTGGGAGGCGGCTGGGGGTGCGCAGGTGGGGGGCCTCGACTGCGGGCGCGTGGGAGCAGGGTGGGGACACTTCCGCACCTGCCTTGGGAGGGGGCTGGGGGCGCGCGGGTGGGGGGCCTCGACTGCCGGCGCGTGGGAGCAGGGTGGGGACGCTTCCGCACTGTCCAGGCTCTGTGCTCTGGGTCACCGTGTGATGGACGACCTGGACGGTAAGCGGCCAGCGGCAATGCGAGCAGCAGCTCCTTGCCCCTCTCTGTGGCCTTGGGTGTCCCCTCAGCTGGGAGGACGCCAAGGGGAGACCTCTTCCGGGGAACGGATCTCCCCTCGTGAGCACTGAATCACTGCGTGCCAGTGTGGGCCCTAAGGCCCACTGGACTGAGTTGCCTTCTGTGCAAGAAAACGCACCTTTCTCAAGGGGGGGGGTGGCGATGGGCGAGACCAAGTGTCACGCTGCACACAGTGCCCCTTCCCTCCCCAGGGGACAGTGGGTGTGGAGGGAGGCTCTGGTGGGAGGGGTTGGCTGCACCCACACCCATGTCCCTCACAAAAGAGCAGCTACACTGGCAGCAAGACCTCCGGCCCCCAAACTGGAGCCAGTGTGGACAGGGCGGGAGGCGAGCGGACGGGACGTCATCAGAGACGTCCGAGGGCACCCTGGCTGTGGGTTTGCCAGCTAATCCTTGGAATGAGGATTTCCGCCAAACAGCTGAAAAGGGGCCGCACAACATCCAGGTGAGGAGAGGCAGGAAGACACTGCGCAGCCAAGGGCGCGTCTGCATGCTCTCTCGGGCACTGCCACGCTTGGGGACCCAGCCCAGAGATCACACCGTGCACACTGAGTCCACAGACGGAATTTATTAGACTTTGCGGAAGCATGAGATAGTCTACCACGCAGTTTGTTTTTACAACACTAAGTACGGTAGGGGGCTGTCGACATACAGTGTTGTCAGCAAAAATGGGACACAGAGTTTCACATTTCTTAAAGGTGACGGATAACATCTATGCTTGTCCTTAAAGTAAAAACGGGAGGGACCAGCAGAGACCAACCTGACGTGCGCTTAGCGTCAAAATCCCGATCTAGTATCACAATTATAAGAAACTATAAGAAACCTATTAGAAAAATAGAGCATCAAACAAGCAAAAAATATTTTACGATTTACACAATAAAAACAATTCATTTGATAATGGCTCCACGTTCAGCAGAAGAAAAAGCTTTCTGGAGAAACCACAGCTACGTAGGTTTGAAAACAAACCACCCTCTGCGCTCCTCACGCCCAACAGCGCTGAAAGGCACAACTTAAACAGCAAATGTATTTTAAATATATATTATAGCTTCTCAAATGGGAAAAATAAGTCCCCAAACCAAAAAGTGTGTCGAGAAACACGCCATCTCACGCCCTGTTAGCGAGCTAGCGAAGTCCGAGTGCACTGTCTCAGCCCCGCTTCCCGACCCCACTGGACGGGCTCGCACCCTGAGAAAAATCGACTTGGACTTCGCAGCCCAGGGCGACCCCAGACGGCCCCCCGAGACCCAGCTTGGCCAGTCAGCATGCCCCTGAAGAAGAGTGTTGCCACTCACTGAAGCAACAGCACAAAAAGACCCTGGATTATGGAGATGAAGGTCAAAGTCAGTTTGGGGTGGGTTTTTTTGCCTTAAAAAAACCCATCAGGCATCTTAACTACGATGATGAACTACGGAGTGTAGCTTCTTGCACCACTGAATCAGTAAAGCATTTCATGACGGGGAAGGAAGTCCGTGGGAGTGTGACAAAACGTACACGATCCCCCGTCCCCAAGGAGCCTGCCTCGCAGACGGCTCGCAGCACGATGGCAAACACGTGTTGTAAATTACACATGACAACTACACATGAGCCACACTTCGTTCCATCGGAAGTGACCTCTGACAGCTGCACGCTCATGCAGCAGCACATGCCCACGCCCGGCACACGCCCCGGGAACTGTCTTCACGGGCGGGGTCTCGTCAGGCGTGTTAATAGCGGGACATTCGAATCAGAAGATGGTCCTGGCACGGAGCGGAGACCCCCAGATGCCCACCCTGTCTGCAGCCCCGTCTCCCCGTCAACCCGCAGTGCCTGCTTAGCAGCAGGGACCGCTGGCCGGTGGCCTGATGCTCAGTGAGAGGAGGGCAGAGGTGTGAGATGCGTGGCTCTGACCGCGCTCGCTCGGCCGTGCTTCCGGGCAGCCCGGGAGACTCGCACCCCCTCGCTGGGCTGTGAGGAGCCGGCCGAGGTCAGGCTGAGGGGGTGCGAGCAGGCGGGGCTGAGATACCCCCTACCGAAGTGGCTCCCGCCCCACTTGCCGCCAGGGGCCTGCCCGCCCCCCTGGAGAACCCCGTCTGCCAGGTCCTGGGGCTGCAGTTTGCACGAGGCCATGGAAGTGGGGGGGAGGGGCTGTGGTGGCAGGAAGGGGCGTTCCCTCGCCACTGACGAGACTTTCCAACGCCAGCAGGGTGAGAGGGGACAGTGTTTCCAGTGGGTGTGTACCCAGGAGGGTGGAGTTCCTGACAGTGTAGGAAAATACTGGCTGGGCCACAAAACTAAGAATCCTGTTCCCACGGCGGGTAAGAGGGGTGACCCTGCTGGGGGCGTGGGTGGGCCGTGTGTGCGCGCATGTGTGTGCATGTGTGCACGTGTGTGTATATGTGTGTGCATCTGTGCATGTATGCACGTGCGTGTGCATGCACATGCATGTGTATGTGTGTGCGGTGACCCTGCTGGGGGCGTGGGTGGGCCGTGTGTGTGCGCATGTGTGTGCATGTGTGCACGTGTGTGTATGTGTGTGCATCTGTGCATGTACGCACGTGCGTGTGCATGCACATGCATGTGTGCATGTCTATGTGTGTGTGCACCTGTGCATATGTCTGCATTTGCGTGTATGTGCATGTATCTGCGTGTGTGTGCGTCTGGGGCAGGAATGAGGGATGCAAAGTCCACCCACAGTGAGAGGCTGAGCCCCCACCATCCTCACCACACGGCCCTCGTACAGTCAACAAAAGCACAGGGACCACGTGACCTATCGTCCCTGTCACCCTCAGGGGCCCTCGCCTTTGTAAGGGGCTCCGCGGTGAGGGGAGGGTGCCGGGCTTCCACTTGGCAGGAGCATGCACCCTCCAGGAGCACCCCGCAGCCCTGGGGGCAGGTGGCACCCCCAGCCGGAGGCTCCCACTTGTCTGACAGTGGACAGGGGTCACCTTCGTCTGACCATGGACGGGGGTCGCCTTCAGTTTCCACGCGGGTGGACGGTGCCCACTGAAATGTCGGCTGTAACCACAGTCTGGTGGGTGGAAATTTCAGCCAGAAAGACAAATTAAAGTAAAAAAAAAAAAAAAAAATTCTCTCTCCTCTCCAACTTTCTTGGACTCTCAAATTGTCTTATGTGAAAAAACATCGGACAGATCAAGCTAACAGGCCCCAAGAAGACAGCAGAAAAACCAAAACCCAAACAAAATAAGTTAGTATTTATCAAAACACTTTACAGCACTGATCTACATAAATTTAAGTGCCTTTCTTTGGGAATCCAAGCTCTGGGGGCTCACCCAGCAGCCCAGGCCCTCTCTGGCGGACCCAGCCATTTGCCATTCACTAATTCTTACGTTTTTCTCCAAGAACCTTCTTGGGCAGAGGAAGAAAACATAAGCGCTGTCAACGTGTCCGGCTGCCTCCTACCAGGTTGCGCCAAAGGCCGGGGGCAGAAAAGGGACACGAAGCTTTAGGAGCAGACGTACACTTTCTGTGGCGCCCGAGATGCCTGCCCGCCGCGTGCCGTCCGCACGGGCCGCCTGGGCCCTGGATTTCACTCTAACCAGAGGCCACGCAGCGGCCGCTTTCCCTCCAGCTCCCGCCTGCACGGTGGGTGGGCAGACGAGAAGGGGCTCGGGGAACTCAGATGGCAGACAGACACAGCAGAGGGACGGCGGTACACGGCCGAACCGCCCCACGTGAGGGCCCCACACTACGGACGACGCGCCGATGGCACCGAGGACTCACGGGCGTCCTCCAAGGTGAAGTTAAGCGCTGACCGATGGGGCGGAGGCGACCGCACCGGCCAGCAGGAGGATGTGGTCTGATTATGCTCCAGGGGCCCGGCAGGTTGCATGAGGAGCCACAAACAGGGAGGCCCGGTCGCCACCACCTCCGGACGAGCGGACGCCTGTCCCGAGACCCTTGTGAGCCTCAGAAACGGACCGCAAGCCTGCAAAGGCCGGAGCTGGTGAATGGCAGGGACCGAGAAACGGCACTCTGCGCTCCGCTGGCCGGGGGCTGGCTCTCCATAAACAGGGTCACGTTCGTTACTCAGGACGCACAGCCAGCGGGGGCTGTGCCACGAGCAGCAGGAACCAGTGGGCCTGGGGACAGGTGGCTGCCGCAGGAGGCCCTGTGTGCACACGGCCCGGGGTGCGGCCAGCCTCCCCAGCACCCACCTCATCCCCAGCGGCCCGGTTTCTCTTGTTCTGCCACAGACCCACCTGCCATGTCCTGTGGTGGAGCGGGCTGGGGAGTGTCCAGGGGCAGGGCACAGCCCTCTGCTAGCGGGGGAGTGGAGCAGGGGTCACAGCCCCGAGACCCCTTCCGTGAGCAGCTCAGAGGGCAGGGAAGGGAAGCAGTGTGATGTCTCCCTTCGCCTCTGGAGTAGAGCAGTAGACACACTATCCTGTGGTGCTCGTCTGGCACCTGTGGCCGGCCGTCTGGCGCTGAGCGGGGAGGCGGCCACGGAGAGTCTGCAGTGTGCGGCTGGGGACGAAGGCCTGCAGGGCGCTCGATGCGGGAAGAGGCCCCCACTCTGCCTGGGGCCATGGCTGCAGCAGGAGGGGAGGAGCCGCCACCCTCCGTCAGAGGCGGTCAGGGGCCGTCGCAGTGACCGGGGCCTGGCGGGCCCACCACAGGGCAGGACTGGACCCTGGTCCTGGGTGGGAGGGTCCTGCTCTGCTGGAGGAGCGAGCGAGGTGCTTCCGGGGCCCCCGTGGGTGTCCCTCGGCCGCTGCCGCCCCCGGGGGATGGACCTGTGCATCACTTGCAGTGGTCCAAGTTGCCGTCAGGAGTCCTTGCTTGGCCAGTGGCCAGGGACGCCTCCTCACTGTGCCAGAGGCCGTAGCCGAAGTAGATGACGAAGCCTGTGGGACAAGAGCAGCGGCAGTGAGCAGAGGGGCCGGGGAAGCGGTAGGGCAGCCCGGGCCGGCTCGGCCTCTCGGTGCTGCCCGCACGTGGAGAAGCCGCGCAGCTCCTCGGGGGCCGGCCAAGGCGGCCGTCCCGCCCGTGCTCACGACCTCCTGCGGAGCCTCACGCGAGGGCAGCCCCCCAGCAGGGCGCAGCTCAGCCGGGGGCCCGGGGCAGGTGTCGGCCCCTCAGCTTCATCCACTGGCCACGCGGTCTGGGCAGGACAGGGCAGACGCTGCAGAAGCATCCAGCGGGCACTGGGGCTGCCTGGACCTCCCTGCGTAAGTGGCTGTCACACTGCAGGAGGCACTCAGGTCACCACAAGAAGTCAGTGTAGCCCAGAGTGGGGTCCCCCAAATGTCTGTGCTGTAACCCCACATCTACGCTTCTCAAGAGCCCAGGGACCGTGCCACCCTGGGGCTAGCCTCGTGCTGGGGACGTAAGTAAGGAGCAGACCCTAACGGAAGGACTCCGCCACCGGAAGCCCAGAAAGCAGCGCGCGCCCTGAAGCTGGGCGCTCAGCCCAGGGATGGATGCTCAGAAGCGGGCGTCCCCAGCTGTCAGGGAGCACGCGCCTCGTCCTGCAGCCCCGAGGCGTGGCTGCAGCGGCCGTGGGGGCCGAGCGCGTGGACCGAGCCGGCTGGATATGCACCGGCCTCTGTGGTGAGCGAGGGGCCTGCAGACGCTGGGGCGGCACAGCGCCCCGTGGAGAGCGTGTGGTGGCAGCTGTCTGCCCCACAGTGCGGTGACCCGGGGCTGAGCAGTGAGGCAACCGCGGTCGTCCTGAGGTCACTGTTCCTGTCAGTGACGCTGCACGGCAAAGGTCAAGGCCGATCCCCCTGCACTTGGTCTGACACCGGGGAAGAACACTGAGGCCACCTCCTGCAGCCCCAGTGGCAGAAGCCCAGAGAAGGGGCTCGGGCCACAGCTAGTCCCAGACAGGGCCAGCAGCACACGGTTGACACCCAAGCCTCTCGTGGACCCTGCCACTGCCCTGGCCACGTGGAGAGGTGCGGCCCACACTTTCCCACGGGGGCCCAAACGATCCCACACTGGTCAGCTTCGCCGGTGGCCGACGCAGCCTCGTTCTGACCGCCTACCTCCAGGCAGGAGCCATTCCAATGGAAAGCACCTGAAGCGGGAGGAATGAGCCCACAGCCCACCAGCAGGGCACCCCAATCGTCTGGGGCAAACGGCTGGCCGCACGCGCTGCCACTGCAGTAAGACCTGGCGGACGTCAGCCGTCCAGCTCCCGGAACCCCCACCGACGTACCGATCAGCATCCACACTGCGAAGCGGATCCACGTGCCCTGGTCCAGCTGCATCATGAGATAGACGTTCACGAAGATGCTCAGGATGGGCAGGGCCGGCAGGAAAGGCACCTGCAGAGAGACAAGGCCGCGGTGTCAGCCCGGTGGAGAGGGGGCTCGCGGCGGGCCCCGTCTCGACCGACCCGCAGATCTACATGGAGCCGCATGCGGCTGAGATCCAGACGGGCTGCCGTGTCTGCGTGCGGAAGCGTGGGCGCCGGTCCCACCCCTGCACCTCAACCCGCACACTGCCCTGGACCCCCAAGCCCCGCCACGCACACCCCACACCCGGCAGGCGAGAGTTCGGCTCTAAGCCAACCGCCAAAGAGAGCGCCATCCCAATCTTCCCCTTGCCATTTTCCGGGGGTCAGAAGGCTTCACTTCATCGCTAAGCCCAAGCCATTTTAGTATTTGTGTAACCTAAACTACAGACGCCCTGGCCACCTACGAGTCTCGGTCGTGACCCACGGTCCCCCTGGACACTTACGAGCAGCCCCTGGGGATGAGCCGCCTGAGAGCTCGGGGCCAGGCGCTCCGGCAGGCCGGCAAGCACCTCCCCGCAGAGCCCAAGCCAGGCCAGCCCCCCGCCGGACAGCCAGGGGCTGTGGTACCCGGAGGCCCCTGCAGGCCCGTTGGGCGGAGCCGCTGACCTTAAACGAGAGCTTGGTCTTGCTCTCCGGCTGCTGCCAGATAATGACGGTGACCACTGAGCAGAGGACGGCAGAGCTGATGAGAAAGAAAAGAGCCCAGA